TTACCCTTCAGAAGAAATCATACTGCTATACATGCAGAATTCCCTGACCATTTTAATGCCCAAGTAACAAATAAAATCTCCTAAACAGTTCATTTCTTTAGACTACTATGCTTCATAAAAGATCTACAAGCAGTAGAACTGTTGATGAAAAAAAGTAAAGGGGGAACACATGGGAGGAGTTCAACAGAATGACTTCTGTGATGTAAAGCATATGCAGACTTTTCAAATCCTTCTAAAAACACATACACAAGTTATGAAAAGACTCACTTTTTTTAATTACTTACTGTGCTTTTCTCCCATATTGTTGAAAAATAAAATGTTCCCTTTGAAGAATTTGCAGCAGTTTATTGTAGGCAACTCTGTGTCTTGCTTTTGCTATGTACACATTCCGAGGTCTCTGCATTACAGCTTCAGCAGAAGGTATGCCAGTGCCTAAATAGAAGCCACGGTTTGGATTACATTACTTGCTTCTAGCAAATTGGCATCTTCCTAATCTACCTAGATCAAACTGCAAGAATCACAAATCAAGATGCTCATTTTTACCTGGACTGAAACATAGCATGCAGTGTACTGCCGCTTTTGCCTTTTTTTCTGTTGTATACACTTTCATTCCCTCACTCTCACTCCCTTTCTGTATTCTTTAGGTTACAATAATACAAGATGCCGGAACAGACAGATCTGATCCTTCAGAATTCCTCAAGTTCCAAAAGAGAAAATAGCGTAGTCATCCAATACTTTTGAACCAAACCATTGCTTGTGTGGTTAATGGTGCAGAGCGTTGCACAGGTGAACCTTGGAACAAGACCCATAAAGCAATAGAGAGTAAAACCATCTGCATTGTTCTATCAGCAGTAGCTCTGCGCAAATGCACAGAAAGACTCTGACCTGAGCATCCAACTAAGAACTTCTTAAAGCTCCTGTCACACATTAAAGACTTGATACATTTACGAACACAACATATGAAGCATTTTTATTGTCCCACACAGCTTACCTACAGAGAGCTTTTTCATGTTCTCAATCATTACGTATCTTGCAAAACAGTACAACACATGAACAACTTTAGCACCACCAGGAGAAATCAGTGTGGAAGATGTAATTTGTGGGACACTTCCTTCCATCTGCTGCTAGAAAAGTACAATAATTTTAAATGCAAAACTAATCTGAGAAGTAAAGCATAAACAACAGCAATCAAAGACTGGTCTACACACCAAAACGCTGCAGATTACCCAGTAGCAAGCCTGATGCAAAGCTAAATTACTTTGCCCACCCCTGTTAACACCTACTGTAGTCAGCAGAAGAGTATATAGCTTTTTCCCATGTTGCCAACGCTCACTGTACAAAAGATGGTTTCAATGCAAAGACTATTATCACTGTTGGATAAATGTTAAAAATTGGTGCCCTCCTCATTCCTAACAGTTAACATCTATCTTTGAAAACACATTCAAGTTTTCTTTCATATATTCTATTGAAGGCATGAATTAGTGTACTTTAATCATATTTAAAGATATTGTAGCATTGGTTTTCACCTTACCCACTATTACTAAAATACTAAAGTGTTGAGGAACACAAAACAAGATTTTTAGAACAATCATTAAAACAAAGCCAGCATAAGAAATCAACACAATAACCAACAATACTTGAAGTGTTTTTGTTTTGTTTTTAAAAAGCTTGCCTTACATTGTAGCCCCTTTCCCATATACAAGAAAATACTCTTAATTAAGTTTTGCATCCATCTGAGTCAGCTTTCACAGTAAGAAACACCTTCCCAGGCAACTTAAACAAACAAACCCTCAAGCTGAAGGAAGTTATTTCCACCCAGGGTTAAGAGACTCTCTAGATTTCCATTTAATCAAATACCGTTACCCAAAAGCAAGCCACAGCAGTTTTAGGACCCAGCTAGGTCTCTCTCTTCTAAATTCCCCAATGCCAACATCTTTTCTTCAAGGAAGTCCAAGAAAAACTACATGAAAGAATATACAAAGCAAAACTGAATTCTTTGATAAAAAATTTCTTATTTGAAACTCTGATATAAAACAGTTCCCTCAGAAACAAAATAGGGTCACAGAAACCAGTAGAGCATCAACTTCCACTTTTAATAATACTCACTGAAATTTCTCTTAGCCATTGACAGCAGTGCTTCCTAAATCTAGGACTTGACAGACTTGATTGATTTTTCATTTAAAAAGGAAGAGGGGGGAAAAAAAGAAAAAAAAAAGCCATGTCAAAACACATTTAAATATTCAGATTCCTAATTAACCATTGTAAAATCAAGAGTAAGACACAGATTTCGTATTGATGCTGAGCCAGAAAATGAGGGGCAGACACCCCAGACCGAGAACAAATCAAGGTTTGTCAAATTACAATGTTTTCTTTTCCTAAGTTAATTACAGATTATTTCAGAGAAAGGTTTGTCTGCAGCTCTTTCTAACTTGGGACAGAGGAAGAAGAGGAAAAAAAAATAAAAGAGGGCAGAACCCTGACCATTTTCATATCACTGGTCTTCCTCCTGCAATGCATGGAGACAGTTTTTTTTGTACGACAGAGCTGTTTCAGCTTATACATTCAAATGCATAAGCTGATACAGCTCTGTCATACAAAAAAAACTATTAAAGTACACAGGGTTCTTGCCATGTTGAAGGTCCTGGAAACAATCCATAAATGACAAATATTATTTTCCGTTTGGTCAGAAAGAACAAGACACGTAGATTAGCTGTCAGCTGTTAAAATTTGTATCAAAGTTGCCAAGTAACAGAAACAACTAATTAAGGCAAGGTTTTAGACTGATCAAAATTGAGTAAACTGTGATCAAAACGAAACAAATTCTCTGTCTGTATGCTCTTCTTCCACAGTATTCCCCAAGAAACCACCTCCTTCCCCTCCAGCAACTATATAAAACATACTCTTAATGAAGGGCACAGCAGTAACCTAAGAAGCCAAATACTTACTTCAAAGTTTTTCCTGCACGGTGTTTATCCAGCTTAGCAAACAAGAAGTGGGCAATGACAGAAAACGCTTTGCCATTCGGTATAGCAAACATATCCCTAATACAAAAATAAACACCCACATCAGAAGTAGTTATGGTGACAAATTAACAGAGCACTTTTATTGTCTGCTAAAGACTACAAAACAGTGTTATGTTACTGAATATTTAATTGAATGTGTTCTATTTCCTAAGTAAAAGTATATACCTTTCATCCTATTTAACACGGGTGAAATCCAGGGCTGCAAAAACAGCGTGGCCAACAGGTCGAAGGTTCTGCCTCTCTGTCGTGCTCGTGTGAGACCCCCTCCGCCTCCCCCCACCAGGAGTGCTGCATTCAGCTCTGGTGCCCCCAACTTAACAAGGACACAGAACTGTTGGATCAAGTCTAGAGGAGAGGCACAAAGTTGAAAAGCCGACTGGAGAACCTCCCCTACGAAGCCTGAGAGAGCTGGGGAGCTGGGGCTGTTCAGGAAAAGAGGAGGTTACATGGAGACCTTATAGTAACCTTACAGTATCTAAAGGGGGCCTACGGGGAGGCTGGAGAAGGACTCTTCGTCAGGAATTGTGGTGATAGAACAAGGAGTAATGGGTACAAGTTGAAAGAGGGAAAATTTAGGTTAGGTATTTGGGAAAAAAATCTTTACTGTGACACTAGTGAGACACTGGAACAGGTTGCCCAGGGAGGTTGCAAATGCCCCAACCCTGGCAGTGTTTAAGGCTGGGGTAAGGCCTTGAGCAGCCCGGCCCATGGCGGAGGGTGGATCTGCGCGATGTTTTAAGGTCCAGTCCAGCCCCCTAACGGTCACGGCGCTATGGAACAATTCCGGCAAGAGTGTTACCTTCCAAGGCAAGTTTTCAAAACACGCGCTAAAAAGCCCCTCACCTCGCCTTCCCCACATGACTGTGAGGGGGGGCAGGAGTTCTCACCATTCCTGGGTTTCATTTCTTCAGAAGCTCTGAGATAACGTGGACTGCGGCTGCACTCCGGGCATTTCCCGGGCGCTCTCTGTCGCCGGGGGCACAGGGCCCCTCGGCGGCCATGGCGAGACGCTCCCGCCTCGCGCCGCCGAGTGACACCGGGGCCCCGCTCGGACCCCCCGCCTCCGCCCTCCCCCGGCTCTCCCTAGCACTAACCTCCCTAGTTGTACACCCGGGTACCGTTTCGGGTCGAAGCCCAAGGCCAGCAAACACATCCAGAGGTGACTGCTCTCCCACTCAGCGTCCTCCACTGCAGCTCCCGGCAACGAGGGGGTAAAAGACTCGTCCAACACCTCCTGGGTAAAAGACGGCTTCGGCGACCAGCGGGTAAGACGCAGGCTAGGCGCCGCCATCTTGCCGAGCCCGCCAAAACCTCCCGCGCGCGGACCGCCCTTACCACGTCCCTACCCTCGAGAGACCTCCCGTCCGCCACCGGCGTCCGAAGACGAGGCGAGCCGGACGCGCTGCCTCATGGGAGGTGTAGTCCGGGTGCCGGTATGCCTCCAGAGGGCCCTTCGTTTTTTGTAGTCGGATTGCAGAATTTACGCGGGGGGGGAAAAAACCCCCACCAAACCAAAACAAACAAAAACCCCAAAACCAAAATGAAACAAACCAAAAACCCAAACAAAACCTCCCAAAACCAAAACAAAACAAAAAACCAACAAAACCAAAATAATACTAATAAAAAACCCACAAAAAAGCAACAAAAAATAACCCCTAACCCTAACAAGAAAAACTCGCACCGACAAGCGTGCTGTGCGGTTCAAACTTTTATTCCAAGGCATTTCAGCGGCCAGACTTGCAGGCCCTCACAAGACCAGGCGTCCCAGGCTGAGGGCGCAGCAGGCCCGCGGCTGCAGAGAGCGGCGCTCGGCCGCAGCTCCCGGCGCGGCGCTGCAGGCACACGGCCCACACGGACAGGTCGGCCTGGTCCTCGGAAAGAAATGTCAACAAGTCCGCCTCCAGTCCCATTACCCCTCTCCCCAACTCCTCGAGAAGTTACTGTGTGCGAGCAAATGCAGACTCACCAGCCCTTAGCAAATAACTGATTGAGATTTTATTACAACACTTTTTTAAAAATAACTGTCGCCAGAACTCTTAAATTCAATTCCCTCTTTTTTCCCAAATTTTCTTTTGTCTGAAATCTTTATGTCTTTACTCTCTTGCTTTCCTTTCTTTTTACAATCTATTCCCCTTTCTTATTTAAATGCTATTCTTATACCCAAAACACTTTAATATTGAAGCATTTACTCCCTTTAGTCTCAGGCGCCACAACTGATAGCATCACGATGGCCATAATATTTGCACACAAAAGGCATGTGGAAAGAAAGGAAGTCCTTTAGTGCATAAAGCACTCTTGCCAAAGGAAAGCTCTAAGCGTCTAAGCTCTGTAGGTGCAGAGCCTAACAAAAGAACCTGAGAAAATCCGATAGACAAAGTCTCTTACCCCTTCCAGCAGCAAAGAGGTAGATGCAGCACTGCTTTTCACATAGACTGAAAGTGGGCAAATCCTCATCAACTCCTTTTGTTGGCAGCCCTGTATGCAAAGCACTGGGGTGTTCTCATGGCTGCTACCAGCAGGAGAACAAATCATCAATAAAAATCAGATTAGTTGGATATATTGATTAGGCTACACCCGGCTTGTAGAACTGGAGCCTGACACCCATGCTAACCAATTAATGTAGCATGCATTCCTTACATTGAAAAACCCAGATTTTTGATGCAGCTAAGTGAAACAGTACTGATTTTTAAAAAAAGTATCCCCATAATCCCTAAACTAGGCAGGTTCATCTTTAAAAAGGACAAATCTAAATCAAACATGGCAAAGGTACATTGTATCAAAAAGACATTTTTATGCTTCTCTATTCAGCTCTTTGCCCTGTAGTGTAAGGACCATTTGTGCGTGAAAAATCCTGTTGATCCTCTTCATCCAAATCCAAAATATCTGGGACATCATCTGACTCTGAAGACAGGTCTGTAATAGCGAAATCTGGAACCTGTGTAGGAATGAAATTTCAATCAATTCAAAAGTAAAACTAAAAAAATTTGTGCAGTACTCCTTCACTGAAGACAGGACACAAAGGTGCTCAGCATTTCTAGAAATCAGACCAAACATCCTGATTACAGAGTGAAATATGCTCAGACACAAAGGCAACAGGAACCATTAAGACAAATCAAATACTACACAAGATGGAAAGCAGTTGCTCAGAAGGTCAGATTTTATAGTAGAGATGGAAAAGAGCTGAAGGTAGTAGACTGAATTTAGTGAAACTAGTGACTGGAAACTTAAGAAAGGAGGTTTTCAAACTAATGTTGCCTTTCTTCTTTTCACCAAAGCAATGGACTATACAAAGTTATCTGCCCTGAGGAGATTGGTACAGATTGATACTGTGTTGCTCTGCCTGCCTACTACATCAGACCTTTTCTGATGAAGCAAATACTTGGAACTGCAGTCTCACTTTGGCCTCTGTTTTAACTGCATGAATAGTATTCTGTACTGCTAAACAGCATAGGGTTTCAGGAATTGCCAGAAAGACATCAGTGGATACATGGATGTTAACAGACTTCTAAAAATGTTGGCTAAGACACTTAGGAGCTTAAGTCCCAACCCTTAAGTCCCCTTAGTAGGACTTGGACTACTTAGGCACTTCTGAAAAATGGGATAAAATTAAGCAATTTACTCATAAGTTTTTTGCCCCAACTGAAAAATACTCACATCTGTAATATGGTTAATGGTCAGTTTTAATGTTGGTGATATGATGTACTTGGAACCAGACACAGTATCAGCAAATTACTACTGCTGCATTTTGACAGGACCTTGGTTCTGCATGTTCAAAGCAACAGCAGCTTGTAGGCATTTCTGTAACTTAAGCTCAGCACTGACTGAAGAGACATTTTAATGCATTCCCTAACTGCAAAACATCTTATGACTTACTTTAATGAAAGACAGTAAGCAAGAAAAATCTATGCTTTGCCTGCTGTGATGACAGGTCAGAAAGGCAGACAATGTATCAAATAAAGGGACTATTACTTCAGCTACCAGGTTGTACACAACACAGAAGCACTGCACAGTAATTTACTGGTCTTACGGAATAGGTCGTCATTGGACACCAGGGATCTTTCAAATACTAATTTTTTATTAAAAGTGATCTTTAGAAGAATTTAAGCAGCATGTGACTAACCAGGTATTGTTATGAATACCATGGAATGCATATACCACTTTGGGAACTTAAGCTTGATCAAAATAAGATCAGTAATTTTTGTTTCCCAAAAGATCAAAAAGGCACTAGGAATGCAGGAAACACGTCTTTCTACCAGCAAGGATTATCTTGCAGCTTTTTACTTATGGCAGTTTTCCTAAAATTCTCATTACCGTGCTTGGACAAGGCAACAGACTTCTCCATTACCAGCCATGATCTTGTATTTCATACAGCAGTACAAATAGAGATATCCTAAAAAGACTATCCATAGTCCACATGGATAGTTTTATGTATTATATGCATACGTGCCCAAATGAATAGTTTCATGTATTTACACTGACCAGGACACAGCCACGTCCACTAAGTGTGTCTGACCAGTAAGAATTTTCTCTATCATTCATTTAATTGGTTTTTATTACTTACATCCATTTTGTTCTTAGTGACAACAGAAATATTGCCCAAATTTAAGTTTCTGCTTTCTTCATCTCCTTAATGCATGCAGCAGAAGAACCCGATTCCTTTAATGTAAGATTTTGATAGCCATGAGAGAACTTCAAATTGGAGTACACCTCTGAGTAAAACCAACTGGATGTCAGTATGACTCACTTCAGTTTTGACCATGCTAAATTATATTGGAATATATCTGCACCAGTCTAACTAAAACAATGCAAAGCCCTTGGTGTTATGGAATTCCTTATGTAAAAGATCTTTACTTTCAGTTGACTCACTGTTTTCTTTCAACTTCCTATCAATTACTGAATAAAAAAGACTAGATAAAACTCTTCTTCATGCAATTTCTCTGTATGATTCAGTAAACCATTTACAAAGATATAATACTTGCAAAATCCCTACATAGAACAGTGCAAAAAAATACTATGGCATTTTGCTGTCTTCATATACACATGTTGATGTCAATACTAAAAACTTCAATCTGTTTGGTTGGTTTTTTTTGGGCTAAGTTTTTAGAACTGAGCCACTAGCATTTTGACACAGTGTCCTCATTTTGTGAGCTTTCAGAACAAGCGCTTATTTTTAGTCATCAAGAGACTGTATTATCCAAAAGAAATAAAATTGCCATGAATTGGCAATAAACAAATATAAATTTATTTAACAAAACATTGTGCATAATGCCTCCAGCAATCTGCTGCATGTAAGACTCTCTGATCATGCAAACTACTAACCAAGCATGCTTAAAAATAAGTTTGGTTCCGTTTCATCTTTTTGAGGGTTTAAAAAAGCCTTTTAGTGGTAGTTACTGCTTTTTTTAAATAATGAGAAATGTTCCCAAATCCTTTCACCTATTTTACTAGCTATAAAATATTACCCTAAATTGAATTCTGGAAAAGATCATTGCAAAAATATTAATCTTGAAGAATAGGAGACATTTCCAAATCTTTACACCTTTCTTTAGATTTAGGCAAACTAAATGCATCTCCAGCCTTATACTAATCTTATAATTTAGCTTTGACCAATGATATAAATATGTTTGCAAAACTTGTATACCACATGGACCTATTTACAAATGCTTATATTGAAAGCTTTTCTAAAAAACAATTATCAGCAATGATAGAATAATAGTTCTCTCTTAAAATGCACCTGGGAAGAGGAAATGTCAACTAGCATGAACAATTTTTGAGTGATCTCCAAAAGAGAAAAAGTAATTTTCTGAATTCTAAATAAATCCTAAATAACTTTACAAGTGATAATGATCTTAATATCAGGTTAGTATTCTAACTTTTACCATCCCAAGTTTTGTGTGACTAGAAGCTTTTGACATTCTTCCATTTAATCTAGTTTACCTGCCTTGTTGAAAATAGTTGAATCTACTTCCTATTATTTTCAACACATCTGGTCCTACCTTTTTTAAAAGGTTCCAGAGAAAGCTTGAGCTAGAAAACTGAGGTATGTCCTCAAATATGATTTTGACTAAGAGGAAGCAAGCTTTTGTGCAGTGCAGCTGAGCTGTTCAATACATACAGTTTAACAGAAACATGTAAGATGGCAGTATCTCAGCTTTCCCTTATTTTTGAGGAAGCACATCAGCTTCAGTCAAAAACAGTGGCAAAAAGACAAGACTTTGGAAGGCATCATTCTTGCCTCCACTGGATATGTTAATAGTCCCTTTCTCTAGCTGCACTTGAGAAAAATCCTAAGTTCTGTCTGTAGACCTGCAGTTAGACTGGAGTGCGGAATATGCTATGCTAAATTACCTGCAATAAGATACCCATGCAAGTACAGTTGCAAATCAGTTTAAATATTCAATGCTGTCCTTATTAGCAGAATCTAATAACCTTAATGACAGAATTTTATAATATTTAAAAAATCAGTAGTAGCAAATACCAATTTGCTGCTACTCACCCATCTCTTCCACTAGGGAAGAGCTCCTAATTCCAATGGGGTTGGAGGGTTGTGTGTCTGTGCATAGAAACTTTAAAACATTTGCAGAGTGGGCAGCATCCTACAAAACAAGCACCTATCACAACAACATCCTTGATTTCCACTTCATCTGCTTGCTGAGATTTAGTAAAGATGGACAGCCATGCAAGAATGCAAACCAGCAACACAAGACAGAATAGACACAATGTACTGCTCCTGCATTAATGCTAGATGATGCTGTTTATTTCTCAGTCCTTAAAGACATTGAAAAGTTTGAATATTTTATTTGACTGATCAGGGTGAAGTCCCAGAGCAACTAGATTCTAAAACGCACATAGAAGAATGGGAATTCCCTTCTTTGAACAGCCCACTACTCCCACAACTAATTAGTTCCATTCCGTTTCTGAGCAGTCTATAATAGTGGATTCACTCCACAAGTATTATTGCAAGTGGGGATAAAAAGGATATTCTTGCTGGACCTATGCAATAGTAAACTTAAATTAATTCCTGAAAGCGCTGTCTCCAATAGTCTTAAGTCAGGCCCTAGCTGGAAAGGAGTCTCATCATCTCATGTTTGTTTCATGTTAAACACTGCCCTTATATAAAGGGAGTATTAAAACCTGTAAGCTACAGAATCTTTACCTGCAATCCTGTTTTGCTACAGTTTCATTTAATACTGTGCTTAAAACAGTCTTCCTTACACTTGTAGGCCAAGCCCGATCCAACAGATAACCCTCTCATATTAAACAGCTAGACAACATGTAATCTGCTTTAGCGCCTACATCAAACCAGGTGGAGATATTTGTTCCATGTAGCAATGTGTGACTACGTGGTAAGTTTTCTTTGAACTGTGTTTTTGCCTCACTATTTGGTGACTTCTTTGACAATGGTGGCTGGCATTGCTACACCAGATGATTGTGACACAAAGTTGTATAGGGCATGCATCAAGGAAAAGGATACAACTTACCTGGACAGCCCTAACCCAAGAAAGCTTATTTCTTAGTAACTACTTTTCCAGTGGAGGTGTTCACAGGACTTAGTGAGAACAATTCCACTGAAGTAACTAAGCATTAATATGCATTTGTCACTCAAGTTCAAGAGGAAAAGAAAGTTAAAATGGTGATGCAGCTGAGAAGTAAACACTGCTTATAGGGAGTCAGAAGACAAAGCAGGTAGATGGCCAAGTCAAGCACATACAACACCTACTGTGAAGGGTTGAGAGGGTTCTTTTGTCCATATCCATCTGTTTTCAATATTAAAACATCCAGCAGCTCACAGCTTAGGTCATCTTTAAAGGTGACAACAGCAAGGATCAGCAAAAGCAGTAGTAAAGCTAAGACTCAATGGGTTGATACACAGAAATTCAACAGCAAGGAAATGCTGCAGCAGTATCTTATCTATCCATCAATATATACGCAAACATTTTCAATGCACATCTACATCGTTTGCATGTCAAACTTGCTTTCTGCTGGACCCAGTTTGAGAGACACAGAAGAGCAAGTTAGATTGTTTTAAAACAAAGGAGACAGGCTTTGACTACTAAAGCATTTATTACTAACATACAAAAATGAGTTACAAAGCAATAGCTACAAAAACACACAACAGCAGGCACTTTGGTATACAAACAGCATGAATCTTTTGTTTATACTGCATATTAAAAAGTGTGTTGATAATTATTTGGTCAATCAGTGGAACAGTGTTCATGGAGCATCTAGATGATGCTCTTAACCATATGGTTTAGTTTTCAGTTAGTCCTGCATGGAGCAGGAGTCAAACTTGTTGATGCTTATTGGTCCATTCCAGCTTGAGATAATCTATGATTCTGTGGTCATGTTAATGTGTAATACAATAATGAAATTTGTACAGTTAATGTTAACACTGCCACAGCATTTTACTCCAGCTGACTCATTCAGAAACCCCGCTTTCAGCTTTGGCATTCTGCACTCACAGAACTTTTGTCAGGAATGATGTAGCAATAGAATTTGAAAGTCAGATGCATATTTATCAAATGTGGGATCTGCAGTGAACACAGCATTCAAGTGTACATAGCTAGACCGTAGAGCTGTTAAATGCATTTCACAGTATGTAAAGCTTTTATATCTTTCTGGTAGAGATTAGGCAATAAAATCAAAGGCCTTCAGCTATGGTGGGTTTCATTTAGACTAATAGTATTTATATCACTGAAGCACAATGAGGTGCTTGACAGACTAATAGGGCATCTTGACAACTGTCAGCTGCCAATACTTAGGCACTTGAATGTCTTTTAAGAGTGGCTTAACTACACAGGACAATGCAACCCATGTGTAAGTGTCCTGGCCTCTAGAATCCCCTATTCCTGTATTTATGAATTGTTCACCAAAAAATGGTGAAAATGGATTTTTTTGCCAGCTACACTTAGTAAGGCCACTCATTTGGTCAGTCAGCAGAGTACATGTGTGCTATGCAGCTTGTTCAGTAGTGTGTTCAGGCTGTTTGTCTTTTTGGCTGGAACTTTCCTCCCCTTCACCTTTGCTTTCAGCCTGCTGAATGCCAGGCAGTTGTAGGTAAAAGGGACCTACCAGCCAGTTGAGCGGTGTGTTGTTGACAAGATAATCCATCACATCATCCAGAGACTCCTTCATTTTCTTCAGCTGTCCTTTGCTAGCTGCAATGAAGCTGTCTGATAATTCTTGGAAAGAGGATGCGGACCGAAAGCTCTGGTAGACATCACCTGCCATTGACCCAACACTGTAAACCTGATCCTGTACATTCTGTGGCAGCCCCTGAAGGCTTGAGACCAGTGTGAGGCAGGTGGTCTGAAGCTGCTGAGTGAGGCTCTGTGCAATAGCTAGAGTTCTTGACTCAATGTGCTAGAAAGAACAAGCACAACAGCAAATTAGTGTCTTTTTATGACTGTAGCAGCTTTATGTTGGTCAAGATACATAAAGAAGCAAAGTAAAGTGGATATAGGTGACATAAAGCTATAGCAGATAATAAACCAGGTTTTTAGTCTGAAGCATCAAAGACTTAGAAGTACTTGATATTTCTTCAACACTCAAGTACTTCATGAAAAGAAACTGATAGCTTCTACCCAGCGACAGTCAAGCAGACTCTCATTTCAACTCTGGATAACAAGTCACAGCAGGTAATTCTAATCAATGAGCTATCCCTGAAAGCTATGTGTAGGACTGAGTGAGTCTGTGGCTAAGACTGCTGACAAATCATTATTTCTGGTCTGGACACATCACATAATTGGTTTCTAACTAATCTACATACAGATATTCCAATATGAGTTTTCATGCTAAATAGGATAAGCATTCTCAAGAGAGGAGAATGAACCTGAGTGTTTGCAGCAAGTAGACCTATTTGAAGAGTTCAAGACTCCTACTTCTCAGAAGTCAGCTGTCCTTAGCTTCAGCATGCAGCTTCTCTCTTGCACACTTTAGAGACTGTTAGTTTGCCATTACCTTGATGAGATAAAATATATTTATTTCTGGTGTACATTTACATCTATTTACCTCAGCACTACGCAGATCATCACCATCATTTTGGCCTGTATTTTTCTTCCATTCTACCCAGGACTGATAAAGCTTTTCCTGAGCACCAAGAAGTTTCTTATTGGCACTATTCACATTCTTTCTGGCATACTCAATCTGAAATAGAGCCAAATAAGGAAGTAGAGCCAAGAATCCAAACAGTTCCTTTAGGGCTTCTCTACCCTGACTGTTTTGTACTCTTCTTTTAAAATACTTCAGAAATTCAGTATAAACAACTTTGGGTAGTGTAAGCATGTGCTTAGTCTCATCAAAGAATTGAAAACTGAAAGCAGTTTTAAGATGTTGTGTAGTGTTCCCCTCTGCCTTGACTATTTCCCCATCCCCCACTGGCATTCTACAGGAGGAACTGAAAGTGTATAGAAGGCCATGACTCTGTGTGCAGTTTGTCATGTACATAAAGATATTTGCTGGAATAAAGACTACTGAAGTACCAGAAATACTCAGAGATAGAAGCAGCAAGACAGCAAGTCCCAAAAGAATTTGAAATTTCACTAATAAAAAGGATTTAAAGGACTGATGTGTTTCTAAATTGCATGACACTTTCTTCACTGAATGAAGTATGTGCCAAAACCAGCACTACAAAACAGGCATAAATTTAAACACATCACTTCTGTTTCTGCAGTGCTTGCATCTACAAGCAATTGCTCATTAGTTCACAGCTTAGCCTGATTTAGAGCTCTCCTGAATGGTGACAAAAATCGCTTAATGGCAAATTCTTTGTATTTAATGTAATAACGTTCATGAATTTAGTCAGAGAGCAATCCTAGTTTTCCTGCGACTCTTTCAGCTATTTTCTTCACACTAAACCAAGGCCAACGTATGGTTTTTATGTATCAAGTGAAAGTATGACTTACCAGACTAACAGTGTAGTGGAGCTGAGAGATTGTATCCTGGCTTCTCTGTTTAGCATCTCTAACTTTGTTTAAGGCTTGTTGGTAGGCACGTGTGCGGACCTTTGAAGACAGGGATCCTAGTCTAACATAGTAGCTTGGCTTTTGGACTCCAACTTCAAAGCCTTCAACATTTGCAGCTTCTTTCTCTAGGTATGTAGAAAGGAAGCAAATTGATTACTAGAGGAAAAATTAAGAGGTCTGAGACAATTTCATCTGCCTAGTAACAGCTGAATACAGGACTTGTTGAGCAGTCCTTTAGCACCATGATTAGGCTGATAGACCACTTTATAGAGAAATCCTTACTTTCATTCTGCTTCCTTGTGAAGATGCTGCTATTACAATCAGCAAGGTAAAAGACAGTTCGGGAGGCATGTGCCCCCCCTCCCCCACTATGAGTATGCAATATATGGATGATTGCTTGCTTCTTTCCAATATAAGCATTCCAACAAAATCAAACCTTCAAGTAGTCTTACCTAGTTCTGCTTCTGTAAGTGGAAGATACTGGTCTACAAGGGTCTCTGATTTTGTGAGAGCACTGTCCACACCACTGCTCACCATTTGCACCACACGACTTCCCAGGACAGTGTTAATGCTGCCACTGACAACTGACTTGGTCATTTCAACGCTGTCTTGCACTGCTTCCTTAGTCTTGTCCACAACTCCAGTGATCGTGTGAGCAACAGTTTCCTTGGCACCAGTCACAGTGGTTGTTACAGCTTCTCTGGCTCCAACAACTACATCCTTGGCATTGGCAACAACCTGCAGCAGGACATACGTAGATTTACAAAAAAGTATTAACTAGTGAGAGCTACAGCATTTTAAGTCCAGGAAACAATAAATATATGCTAAAGCTTGTACAAGTATTGGTTATCTAAGAGAAAATGTGCCCTAAAAAATATGTACAAGAGAAAAAAAGAGCATGACTGCCACATAGCTTTTGAAGTTTTCAAAAACTTCAGTGAACGTAATCCAGGCACTTTGTGCGAGAAAGAGACAAAGACTCAAGTTTTAAAAGACACCCACCAGTGAACTGCAGTCACAGAAAAATGTTGTCAAGTGGTGGACAATTTAAAATAATTTAAAAAACCAAAAAGCTTAATGGTCTCCCAAAGGCAACCAACAGTTCTACAGATCAATCCTTGACTTTCTCATTGCTTCCAAGCTGTGCTTCAGGCACAGCTTTTTGAAATGTATCTCCCCTGGGTTTTAGTGATAATAGAAAATAAGTGTTTATAGTTCTTCTGCTTAGCATACATAAATGGAAAGAACTTACCTTGTCGGTGGGTTGATTCAGTATAGGCAGTCTCTCTTCAATTTTGTCTAGACCTATACAGGCATAGTTGTTGGCAACTACAACTATAAAAGAAATTGCAAGAGTTGGCTTTAATTATTTTTCATCTAGTAAAAATCAAACTGAAAATTCCTCTTGAAAAAGAAGTCATGCAACACCCTTGAAGTAGTTTCCTCCTCTTCTTAGTGAGTTCTGAGTCAGCAAAGCCAAAGAAAAAGGCAGATTTACAGTGCCAGAAAAAAAAATCCTCACTTGCAGGCAAAGAAAAGTCATCTGATAATTTACAAGCAACTGGCAGAAGCTGAAACACCTGTCCCTCTGCCATTCTATGAAACCAGGTTTCTGGTTACAACAGCCTTGTGACACAACTTCCAAATTTAACCAGTTCTCAGTGTAAGAAAGCACAAGAGTAGCATATGAAACCAAGTGAAAGGTGAGGAAACCGTTGAGCAAGAAACTGCGTAATCATGTCACATATAAAAGTCATCTATCAATTTAGTATTATGAAAGCTGGAATCTGCTTTCACTCTGGATTATTACCTTTTTTTTAAGTCTTATCAATGTTTAATCAGTTACACAACAAATCAGGCAACAGGTTCAGTCAGCTACGTGAAAGAGCATTCAAGACCAGCATGACCATGTTAAACCGTAGGCGCATCTGGATATAAAAAACAATCAGTTGAACTAAAGTTACCAACAGCTTCATCTTTGTCTTACTTTGTGGTTCCAGTTTCTGAATGATAGGCATAGCACTTGTCATGGCTACTGATGTAATCGTCTTCACTCCTTTCTCTGCTATCTCACACACTGACTTCAAATAAGGATAGTTATCCTTTGTGGTGATGTAAGCTGTGGACACCATATCATAGGTGGAGCTCACCAAAGGAAGGTTGGCAACCCTTGATACAATGTTCTGTTTTAAAAGAGAAAGGTGTTAGTTGACTCCTATTTTATGATCTAGACAAGGAAATTATGGGAGTAACTCAGACATACCTGCTGTGGATCAATTGCTGCCAATGCCATTTTTTCAGGTCTTGAACCTCACACAGCCTGTGAAAGAAGCATGTATGAGCTACGGCATCATATCTGCTTCATCTAAGCACCAAACTTTGAAACCAACAACCTTCTTGTGATCCACCCCATTTACTGGGATCAGGATGTTCATGTTTCATGCATACAGGAATTAGATTCCATTGTAACAATTTACAAACCCAAAACTCGGTTAGGTAATGCAAGTACAGCATATGCATGAGACAGGCTTTAAGGTACAGCAGTTAATTGATGAATAACCGAGTGGTTGGATCATTTTTTCTAGAAGAATTAAGACAGACTTATCTGTTGAGCCATGACAAAAAAAGCCAGCCCGCAAGTTACTGAAAATCTAGTTTACAATGTTTCAAGTCAGACAAAGAACCCCCCACCAATAGCTTTAACCGGATTAGATCTTTTAGGGAGCCCACCTAAGGCTCACTCTGTTCTGCTTGCTAAGGAGTTAGCATTCCTGTGATACGGAGAGCATCGGATTTCCCTTCTGCAGAAAATAAATCTCCCTTATGCTAATTTAAACTAAATTATTACATGTTCCCCACTGAAACAAACTGCAAACGTTGATCATTCAACAAATCTACAGTACTCAACATTCATTCCAACATGTATTCATATGGAGAAAATACTAACAGCTGTCCCCACAAGAACCCTATAGAGTGGCAGGGTATTGCAGTACTACATAAGGAGAACATACTGAAGCACACTGTCATCCTATGGACACAAGTAGGCTGAACTAAATCTGCAAAAAGCACCTTTTCTATTAATAATTTCAATAATGCTGAAGTTCCAGAAGAATCTGCATGAATGAAGGCAACAAAAAGGTAAACTAGGAGTCCATCCTCAAAAAGGTTGTGGCTTACAAGGTTTGCCACATTAGGTTTGCTAGGTTTGTCAAAGAGCCAACAGCAGTTTTCTGTCTCATATGTATGACAGCAAAAAAGGAACATGTTAATATTCTATCTGAGGTAATTAATTACATAATGGGCAACAAGGACAAAGGCATCCTGTTAACATCTTGCAGGAATATTTGCACATATTAACATACGTGTGCCATAAGGTAATGCTGGTAATGAGATTAACCACTGTACATGGAACACACAAGGAAAACAAGTAGTACACAATGGTTATGGTAGTAACAAAGACGTTCTCATTTAACTTAACAGGTATTTAAATACCTGCAGGAACGTGCTATATTTTTCACACAGCATTACAAATCAGATCACTAGAAGTAGAACTGTATTTCACCATGAACTGCAAAGCATGCTACAGAACAGGTGAATACTCTAATGCCACAGAATCAGGACTCCGAAGGAAGAAGTGCAGTTACTTTAAGAATTATTTAATATTTGTTGTGTGTCTCATAAAATCAATCACACAGGGCACGCATTTGAATTTTAGTCAATAAACCAGTCCAGTTAGCCTGTGAAGTTATTCCTGCTCCTAAAGACAAGGAAGATAACTAGGATCTCGCACGCTTTCAGAGATCCCCTGAATAAGTTCAGCCCTAGCAAGAGTCAATCCATCCTCTGGAGCAGGTGAGTGAGACGCCTGGAATCCAAGGCCAAGCATATTTCAGAGACGGCAAGAGTTTCTGGAGAGGAAAGCACACAGGCTACATCACAAACTTCATTCCTATTTTCCCCCTCCCTACGGAAGGAAGTGCGAGAAAGCAGCGCGATGAGCCACGCACAACAGCCGCGGCGCCCGCTCTGGCTCGCCGCGGTACCCAAGGCAGGAAGGCGCACCGCTTTCCCAAGCGCCCTCACGGGCCGCTTCCGGGATGGGGCATTCCAACGCCGCTCCCGGGGCGGACGAGGCTCTCGGGACTTTCTGGTCCCGGGAGAACCTCGGCCAGCGCACCGAAGCACGCCGGGCCGCGGGGCGGGGGCCGCGGGGACGGCCTGGCGGTCAGAGCTGCAGCCGGGGCCGCGCCCCCGCCAGTTCCGCTCCGCGCCACCATATTGCGGAGTCAGCCCCGCGGGGCGGGCCGGCGCCGCCGCGGCCGCCAACAGCCGCGCCGGAGCACCGCGCCGGCCGTACTCACCCGGGAGGAGGAGCCGGAGCCGCCGCCGACAGGAGCACGGGCAGGGTCGCGGGCACGGGCGCCGCCGCCGCCGCTGAGTGGGGAGCGCCGCGCTGGCCCCGCTATTTATGGGGCGTCACCGCCGCCGCGCGTCAGCGCCGGCGCGGGGCGGGGCCGGGCGCGCCGCGGGCGCCGCGGCTCCGGTCAGCGGGAGGGCAGCGCCTGCCCGCCGCTCCGGCGCCGCTGCTCCGGCGCCGCTGCTCCGGCCGAGCGCCGGGGCACCGACTGTGCTGAGCTGGGAGGGACTCAGGGGTCATCGAGGCCAGCTACCGGCCCTGCACAGGGCAGCCCCACACGGCAGTACCGTGTGCCTGAGAGCACTGTGCAAAGCTTTCTTGAACTCCGGCGCGCTAGTGCTGTGACCACTGCCTTGGGGAGCAGGGAACTTCCCTATTCCCGTGTCCAACCACCCTAGGGGTAAAGAACCTTTTTCTAGTATTCAACCTAAACCTCCCCTGACAGCAGAGCAGACTAAGTGGAACAAACAAGAATTTTTCACTTATTTGAACAGATTTATTACACCTCTGCTAGCATACATACCAAACAGTTAAACGCGCTCTGCTCTTTTCATTACATGGTTGTCATCTGAGAGCTCTCTTTGTTTCTTTTCCTGGTCATGTGGCTTCGCAAATGTAAACCACTCAGCATACCACGGCTACCACAAAATTAAATAACACCCTTTATCATGAGTGACTCTACTGGGAATTCTAGACCGTTCCAGGGATTTATTTACTAACAAGTAGCACCATTATTTGCAGTACAGAAACACCCAAGACTCTCACAGCCCAGTGACACATGCTGCCAGAATGCAGTAACTAGAGATAGTACCAACCCCTTGACAGTCCTTGGCAGGCTAAGAATGTAGATTGTGGTCATGTTTTTTTCACAACTAGGTGTATTTTATAAACTTGGATGGGCTTATCTGAAGTTTTGAAAATCTACAAATATGCCTCTTGAGAACATTGCCTTTGTTACAGAGGCAGTCAGGGAGAATGCAGGAGGAGGAAGGGGGAGAGGATGACATTACATCTTGGATTGACCAAATTCCTCAAATACCATAAACCAGGGAGAGAAGTGGTGTGGTCCATGTCAACAGTGATGAAGGGGAAGGCAGAAGAGTATCAAGAAAAGCAGTAGTAACAGATAACACAAAAGCATGACACACGAGCCTTTCCTAAAAGAGGAAAGTAATAATATATATACCGTATATATAATATATACCCTATCCTTCTCTTTCATGAGGCAACGGCAGATGTTTAAAGTCGCATAATGTATCTAAGAAGTTTTGTTCTTTCAAGAAGTAATTCACAGTAATTCAACCATCCAAGTCCATTTAATTAACATTTTAGAAAATAAGTCCACCTACAGATCCTTAACTGTAGAAAAAAAGTTTAAAGATATTAGTTAATTGATCAGACAATAAATCTATCTATCCTTTGGTGCATCTCTTTTAAACACACTTTAATGTCCTTCATGATACAGAACACCTCAGGTTTCGGCCACCTGTCTCTGTAATACAGCCCTGACAGAGATAGCAGCAATAGATAGCACGAGTCCCTCAGCTTTTCTTACCATCTTAGTTTAGCCAAGTGGAGGAGCTGCTGGAACATCAATGCCAGGCTCTAGCAGTGCTCAGGGAAGCCAGAGAGCATCCCTGCTGTGGCATCACTGGGCCAGGGGCTGGCAGCCCCGAGAAGCTGAAATGGTAGGATGTGGGATGCTGTAGGGAAGGCTGGGCAGGGACAGTGCACCCTGTCCGTGCCATCAAGGCCCTGACCAACAGTTCCAGCAGGGGACAGGTACTTCCACTTTTCTTGAGACCATGTTATCAGCTGTTCCCTAACAAGGTGACAGAAAGGCCAAAGGGGAGAGCAGTGCTAAGTCTGAAGGGACCTGAGTAGTCTACTAATATTCCTTTAGCAGCAGGTGTAGTCTAGTAGGTGGATGTAGGGCTGACTGACAGTTAGAGTGCTAGTGTATTAACCAGATCAGGTACAGGGATCTTCACCTGACCTTACAGCTGGTGGATGGAGGGAAATCTTGGGAACTCAAAAAATGGGGGACTGAGAGCCCTTCCCATGGATCGATGCTACTTTTATTTTAAAGTCATCATGCTTGCACATTGAGATAGCTAGCCATGACCTCTTCTCAGTCTTTAGGATGACTGTTCAAACAGTGAAGTGGTGTCATACTCCTAATCATGTAATGAGAAACTATCCAAAAACTATCTGTTTGGCTTGCAAACAGAGAGCAGAGAAGGGGGTCCCTTTGGAGCTGTCAATAAATTATGTCCACTCACAGCCTTAGGAAGCTAGCAGGCTTTGAAGGACTGCCTCCAGACAGTTTTTGAGGCTCTCAGTAGGGATCTAGAGCCACAAGAAAACTGACATGCTGTCTTTGCCTCAAGTTCTTGCCAGTAGCCCAGACACTGAAGTATTCCCAGCAGTCAGGAATGCTGCAGGGACACAAAGGAAAAAAAGGTGTTTATAGCTATGAAGCATGGATGGTTCTGGGTCCATAACATAAATAATCAATTCAATTCATTACACCCATTCATTTGACCTCGAAGATGTCTAATATTCAAAGAACATTTTTCTTTTACATGTTTAGAGATGTCATGTGAGATGCAAGTGATTCTAATGAACTAGGAGTCAATTTACTTGCGTTGGACACCCTGTTAATTGTCAAATAACACAATTATCAAAGAATGTTTTCTCTCAGCTTTCTCACTGTTCCCCTTTCTTTCCAGTCTCACAGTAATTAGTTTCTAGGCTTCGTAATCCTGTCTTGCACCATTCTGTCTTGGCACTGGCAACTAACTTCTTATGCACCTAAACTGTTTATTTGCCTTACTCCTTGGGTTTGAGATTAGGCCTTTTGTAAGTTCCTGTATGAAAAGCTTTCCCCTTGTCTTGATTGACATGATTATGTCAATAGTTTTCCTGGTGTGACTCACTTAGTTTTCCTGTCTCCAGAAGAGGATATCAGATTTGTGAGACCTGATCCGTGTTTTGAAAGTTCACACTAATTGTACTTAGAAAGAATAGCATCCTTATTCTGCTCTGCCCAGAGTTAGAGACCTCCACCTATTGTTTCTGAGTAACACAACCTCCAGGTTTTCTTTATAACATGAAGAAATGTTATGTACTTTAACATTTTTTTCTGGAACGTCCTTATCTTTCAGTGTGTTTTGTTAGCTGTTCAAAGATCATTACCTCTTTCCTCTTCAGCTGTAACAGAGTAAACCTGACATCTGATTCAGAAGAGACTAACTGGGTCAAACTTAGTTCTCCTCTAAATACTTGAAGAAAGGCAAAAGCAAGCAACAGTATCATCAATTACAGGCAGACAGGCACCATAAACCCACCCCCACAACAGATGTTACATGTTTAATTAAGACAGAAGAAAAAGGAAGGGGATTAACTGGTGCTGGCTTGATAAGGACAGGGAGTCAATTATACATATTTACATATCATACAGGATTTTTTTTTTTTAAATTTGACTACAGTTCCTCTATAACCTTGCCAGATATCATCAGAAGGCTAGGCAGCAACCTGTTGTTATGGTGTCATGCTGCACTTCGGAAAGATAACAGCAAGTCTCCATGTCTCATGTGACATGTAAATCTTATCAGCCCATGTGTACCCATTTAGTTTTCACCCTTTATGTAGTAAAGCACACTAGATGAGGCCATGACAGGAGTTATCAATAAAGCAGTCTATTTTAAAAGACAAATTATTTCATAATAACTTACCACCAGAAAGAAAAATGTCCTTGTTTGGCCATCATCTAGGGACCATCAGTTAAACAATACACCAAGTAGTGCATTTATGTAACAAGATCCTGTAACTGTTTAATTGTATTTCATAAACAGTCAGGACATGTAGCTATGGATGAAGATTTTGTTGGTAGATACAAAATGCACAGGACAAAAATGTCCAGGCCTGTTCTAGAACTAAGTAACAATTATAGGACTATTAAAATAACGAATAACTAATTAAAATGTAACTCATAAAATATAGCTATTAAAACTATATTTGCTCTACAAGACATTCCCACCACAAAACCTGAGATACTTCATGTTATTCTCTACTTAAACCACATTCTTTTATAATGTTTTATCAACAAGCCACTTATAAGCAACTAATCTTTTCTTTTTATCTAGATCTGAGAGTTTCTTTTATTAAATTCCAAAAGATCTAGTTCCTTACTGGATGTATATTTATTCTTATATACTGCATAAGAATCTAAGATGAATGCACTACAAACATCCAAGCTTTCTCTACTTAGATTTCTTTGACTTGGTACAAAAAGAGGAAAGAGGGCCAGACAGTTGCTGGAAATCATTTTGGCATGACTGACTTCCTGGGTTCTATTTTGATTTAGCTGCAAAAGATCCTGTGGCAAAAGCTTCTGGAGACAGAATCAAGTCTCATGTTTGGCAGTGTGGAAGACATTCTTCTTTTACAGCCCAAAGAAGCTTCCATGGAAGCCTTGCTGTTACTCCACCAGGTTTGTGGAGGATACTCCTGATACTCTAAGTTTTCGACAAGCTCCTCACCTTAGTGGCTTTTTTTCCTTGAAAAAGGCTAAATGTCTCTCTCTTAGAAGCATTTTAGCATCCCTGGATAGCACTGGAAATTGTCCTCTTGACAAGATCTTGCTCTTAATATGTGCAACTCATGCATGGCAATGTTCACATGCCCTGGTTAAGGCCTGCTTGGCTGTTTTGCCACAATCAATAAAAATTACTCATCTTTTTTGCAGTACAGAGTTCACCAACCTGCTAAATAAAACACTATCTTATACTATCAAATCAGGCTATTAGGTGCTTGCTTAATGGTACTGCGCAATGCTTGTACACAAGATTATGTATTCTGGTCAGTGGTTCAGGGGAATGAAAAGCAGCAGATAAAGGTTCAAAATCCACTGGTAACAATAAGGGTCTCCCCTAGATTCCATACTTGCTAAACACAAAATTGGTGATCTGGAAGTTTCTATTGCTATGTTAGCATGCCATTCATTTCAAATTCACCAGCTCCAGTAAGAAGCAGAGTTTAGGTATCCCATTTTATT